TATTGGTTATCATATTCTTGTCTTATAAATATTTATAGATGGGAATGGCAATTTTTTCACATATTTTTCTAATACAAAAATGAACTTTCCTCACTGTATGTCCTCTCACATCCAACCCTTTCTTTCTGTCCTAATATCACTTCTGGTGGTAAAGATTCAAGTTTATATTTTGGAGAGAAAAGTGTTCCAACAAGGGTTTGCTGATTTGTTTGAAATTTAATTTGAACAGAATAAAGAAATCAGCATTCAGTACAACTACTTCCAAATCTGAAAAATGCAGGATCATTTTCTTTGAAATCTCTGCCTGTGGGTGTATGATGACTGCTCATGAATAATTTACTGGGCCTTTGTGCCATTGTATCTTCTGGAAAGTATAGCATGAAATCATACTCTATACCACTGTTCCTGTACTGCAGGAATTAAATGGAGACAGAGAAAAATAACAAACTAAAGTCTACACCACTGTAGTTTATGCTGAAAAGGGTATTTTCAATGCATGTACTTAGAAATACACTCCATTAGAAGAAATTATGGTTCTTCATGTATTCAAGTACATCTAATAGCATAGTTCCTTATGTTTGTTATTGTTGCAGAGCTATCCTGGAAGTAGGCATCAAACAGAAGACAAGAGCAGGGCAGAAAGAGTGTGCCAAGACTGTCCACAGCAAGACACACTCATTAACTACCCAGGCCACCACATTCTGAATCAGCTGCAGCTTCCAATGTAGAACACACTGCAATAGTCCACATATGAGGTGACTAAGGTATGAGTAACTATGAGAAGGGATTCCCAGTTTAAGAAAGGGTACAACTGGTATACCAGATGAATGTGGGAAAAGGCAGTTTTGGCCACAGCTGCCACTTGCTCTTCAAGCAGGATCTGCAAATCCAGGAGGACCCCTTAACAGCTTATGTGTTCTGCTTGAGGGAGTGTCACCCATTCAAAGCTAATGATGGAAAATCCATGGCACTAGAAGAACCAAAAGCACACAGTCATTCAGACTTGTGTGTGCTGAGTTTGAGCCTGTACCTTCCCCTCCAGATTCTAACAGCCTTCAGGCACTGGGACAACACGCAACAGCATTACTTGATTGACCCAGGGTCAACTAGGTATTTATTTATTTTATTTATTAAATTTGTCCCCCCACCCATCTCCCCCAATGGGGGACTCTGGGTGGCTCACAACACCTTAAAACAATAAATAAATATACAATTAAAACCTATAACAATTCACATTCACAAAAATAAAAGGGAAAAAAATCCAGGAGGCCAATGGTTCAAGGGCCAGGCCACTAAGGGACAAGCCAACCCCACACTTGATGATCCCCCTCCTCGCCCCAGACCAGATGGCAGAGCTCAGACCCCTCCGAAAGGCCAGGAGTGAGGGGGCCAATCTCGCCTCCCAGGGCAAGATATTCCAAAGGGCAGGGGCTACAGCAGAGAAAGCCCGTCTTCTGGACCCCGCTAGTCGGAGTTCTTTTGCCAAAGGGGTCCGGAGCATGCCCTCTCTGTATGATTGGGTGGGATGGGATGAACTCATGGGGGAGAGGTGGTCCCTCAGGTAACCTGGTCCCATGCCATGTAGGGCTTTAAAGGTGGGTACCCCCACCTTGAATTGGACCCCGGAGCAAAATGGCAGCC